AAACCAAACTTTAGCCTATGAAATACCATCAAATGTGACTAATATCGTATTAGAATGTACTCTGTTTTTGTTAACAAGTCAAGGTTATCCTTTGAGAAACTTTTAAATTGCTGGATAACACAGGGCTTGAAAAAGAGTGTTTGCTTGAAACGTCGCCGAGTAAATGAATTACTTCCATAGTAACTTAAAGATGATTTTTCTCTAAAAATCTAATTTAATTGTATATATATATATATATATATACAGCTTACAAACTACTGATTACATTAATTGTTAATAGACGATTAAATCAGCACTATAAAAGAATTAATAATTAAATATCGCAATACCGTTATCAGTCCAGGTTGTCAACTTATTTTCATAACGGATAATGTTTGTGGTAATAGCACCCAAATGCATTGGGGATATCCCATCTATCAGACAAAATCCAAACGCCGATGTCAATCTTGTCAGCTGTCATGTAAAATTATAAACAAATCCATCAGATAAGATTACGGATCGGAGTGCTAACACCCACAACGTCTCAGCTTCTACTGCCTTTCACTGTCTAGCCCCCAGTGGCACAGCGGCATGTCTGCGGACTTACAACGCTAGAATCAGGGTTTCGATACCCGTGGTGGGCAGAGCACAGATAGCCCATTGTGTAGCTTTGGGCTTAATTACAAACAAACAAACAATTCACTGTCTACAGCCAGCTGTGGAAGGCAGTTACCCTTAAATTTCTTAAAGTAGAAATGAACTGAAATAAAGCCATCCTAATATTTCTACTAATTCAATTCCCAACCTCCATCCTTACAAAAAAATATATTAAATAAAACTATGAGATATTAAATAGAACTATGAAATATTAAATAGAACTAAACAGAACTACAAGATATTAAATAGAACTACAAGATATTGAATAGAACTAAACAGAACTACAAGATATTAAATAGAACTAAACAGAACTACAAGATATTAAATAGAACTAAACAGAACTACAAGATATTAAATAGAACTACAAGATATTGAATAGAACTAAACAGAACTACAAGATATTAAATAGAACTAAACAGAACTACAAGATATTAAATAAAACTAAACAGAACTATAAGATATTAAATAAAACTATAAAATATTAAATAGAACTAAACAGAAGTCCAAAATATTAAATATAACTAAACAGAACTACAAGATAATAAATAGAACTAAACAGAACTACAAGATATTAAATAGAACCTTAAAAATTCTTGTATAGCTCTAACTCCCACCTCCTTCCTTTCCCCTGAAGATTTATTCAAGTATAACATGGGAACGCTGAAACTAGCCTAGCTGCTTGAAGTTAGTCTTTCCGTCCCGGTTATACTAAATAAATTTACTAGAAAAATTATTAATAGCTACTTATAAGCTAAAGTAACTAACTCCCTCTTTATTTTATCTATAAGACATTTTCCTTAATCAATAGGATTTACAACTTCAGTTGCTAGTTGCGAATTGCAAATAATTCTCACGTCAGCCTGTGCATAGTATTTTTAAACCATATCTAAGAAAACAAATTTTAGGGTTAAGGCTTCAGTTCGTTTCGCTGCTAATAGTTCTCTAATAGTGTTAATGGTCTGAAAAATCCAAGAAATTAAATGTTACGAACTAAGAAACTACCCGATAAACAGAAAAACTTTCTTCTCAAAGGTATGTTAATTGTTTGATGTAATCACATATACTATATAGAGAGTTAAATCCTTAAAGTATATTTTTACTATGAAAATATTACACTATGTGTAATTTTGTTTCGTGAAACATTTAACGTGTTCATATGTCTATGTAGTTATATTGTAATAAAAAATTAAAACGTGTCCGTCTTTTAAAGCAGTTTTGGTTCTTCTAGTACTTAAGAAATGATTGAGAAGGTAATAAGTTAAAATATTCTATTGTTTACAATATGAATACATTAATGCATTTGTGAAAGGCATATAAAATCCAGTTGTTAATTTTTTATGTCATAAACGTGTATCGTGACCTTTTCTATGATATGACTTGTACCAAAATATTTGTATAGAAATCAGCACTATTAAGCTGGCCGCATTTCAGTCGTTTCATGCCTGCATCTATATTGGATGAACATATCTATATATATATATATATATAAATACGAAATGTGTGTTTATTTGCACCCTAACTCCTCCAAGTCTATTGGGCCAATCTCAACCAAAATTTGTGTGTAAACACTATGAACTATGGGAAATGCCCTAAGGGAGTTAAAATTGAAATTAACCCTATTTCTATTTTGTAAAGCTTGTTGGTTAATTACTCAAGCCTGTTGGGTCAATCTCAAACAATCTTGGCAAGTTGACGTTTTAGACGATGTTGAATATTCTAAAGAGATTCAAGGTCAAAGTATGAAAGTTTGCTGGATTGTTTCTCAAACAATCATGCTTTTCTCAGTGTCAATAAGATGTAGGGTGTTCAAGGGTGGGATCACCTCAAAATCTTTATTTGTTGATAGATGGAAAGTAAACTGCAAATGTTGTTTTTGATGAAGCTTTGTTATAATTTTAAAATTATAAAGTTTATGCTCAAGTTATTACTTTGAAATATATAAATGCTGTTAAACTTACATTGTTGTAATTAAGTTTAAACATTCCCCGTCAGTCAACGGGTATTTCAGCTTGTTTGTATATATTTAAAAAATAAAAAGTTAAAATGTGTTCATTTATTTCTAAAATAGCTGCTTTTATTAGTACGATAGGTCAGAATTATCCGAATAAAATTTAATGTATCTCTTGTGGAATAATAAGTAGTTCGTCAGGTAATGTTTATTTTGTTCGTTTCGCTTTTAGAATTTTCACGTAACGCTGTATGATGTATAGGGCTATCTTCGCTATCCGTCCATAATTTGTGAATGATAACCTAGAGGGAAGACGATTTAATCAGTAGCACCAATCGGAAACTCTTGTCTTACCAAACAATGAGATTGCGATTTGAGCCTCATTCTTACAATGTATTCCCGGACCCAAGTTGCAGGGAGCATTTTTTTGTGGCAACAGTAAGGAACAAGTGATGAGATCTGTAAGTTCTTGTATTTATATTTATTTTTGATCTGTAAAACCACTCGGAATAGAAAATCGTGCAATGGTCACTAATGTGAAGTTCCCAAGGCACACATATACCAAAAAAGACAATTTATGGTATACACGAAAAACTACACTAGTTTTATGTTATTTTAAACCTTAAACAGCAGTAGGAATATCTGGAGGTACAACAGAAGATCAAGTCAGTCATGTCTGCATATTTGAAGCAAACGTCCTGATAATGCTAACCTGGAACCCATAAAAGGCCTCAGCAAGTCATTAGGCTTAGTGGTTGCTATTATTTTTCGTTACAATTAATGAAACAGGACCGATGATAGTTTAAAATGGAAACAAATACTAAGGCTGCGCCGCTACTCACACTGGAGCCCCCTAGTATTTGGCTCCCTAGGCAGTCGCCTATGTTGTGTATCCTTAGCGCTGGGCCTGGATTTAGATAATATATTAAAAGAGACGCACAGTTCAATAACTTTTTTGTGTATAAGTAAAAATAAATAAATAAATAAAAACTAGTAGAATAACAAAATGAAATATTACAAAGTAAATCATGGAAGTGTGTTTTCGCTTGCATGAGTTCTTGTACTTTTACATATTTTTCTTCCATATGTGTATAAAATCTAAAAGATTTGAACAATTAAGCTGCATGAACACAACTAAACATTACCAAGTACAAATAGGCTTTAGTTTTGTGTGTGTTAAGCCTAATTTATATTTATTACTGAAATTTCGAGTACTTGTTGTTCATCGATTTCGAAGTATTGCATAAAATAATTCAGAAACAAAGGCAAGATAAGCATAAATGATTTATTCTTTATTGACAACGCATAAGCAAATGTCATAACAAACATTAAAAATGTTCTGTACAATTACACATATTTACATCAATTTCTCAGTGTTCAATATAAAAGCAAAAACTCGCAAACTTTGTTTTCGTAGTAACATTTTGATTTTCACTTTCTCAAATACACCATTTTGAAAGCTTGATAACAAACATAGAAAATATAAAGCGTCACAATTGTTTCTCTGTGGAGTTTTACATAAAACTGAAACATCAGTCAGGAACTAATACTATGACAGCATTTTAAAACCTGGTAAACTTGACTTTTTAAAGAAACAATGTCAAAAAATGGAGTTAACAGTATGGCGATGTTTAGAATTAATAATCAAGGATTTGTATGTGACACAATTTTAATGAACTTAAGTTCACTGGAAATTTAAACAGTTTATTTTGTTTCTAAAAATAAATAACTGTATTTTTAATAGTCTCAATCATAAATAAGAGAGGAATGTCAAAGTAAAACGTTGTTATGATTAGTTATTTAGTTTAGTCACCTCATGATCTTGTGTAACTAAATATGGAGGAACAGATGGGGAAGCATATCACAATGATTGGTACACTTTCAATGGAAACACAAAAGTATCATCATAGTACGTGGAGATTATCACATGATCTGACCTTCAGTTCACATTTGTGTAAAAATTTACTCATCAGCCCACGGGCTTTCCCACTTAATCGTCGTGATCTGTAGCTTGTTTCCTTCGATCTCAATCGAATCTGACTAACGATGCCCACCAGTAATTCATCTACGTTATGTCTAATGGCTGCCGACGTTTCGATGAATTTGATATTGTATTTGCTTGCTAGGATACGACCCTCTATAAATAATAACAAAGAAAACATTAGTACATTTCACTACAAGGTTTACAATTTTTTTATATTCGCGCAAAGCTACAACAGAGCGATATATATATATATATATACATCTGGGAACAACACTAGGATTTTTAATATAAAAAAAGAAGGAAACAACAGTGATACTCGAAATGAAGCGTTTAAGTAATTTATAATTGGTGTAAACAAATTCATTATATATATGAAAAAATTGTAACCCTTAATATATATAACATAACCTATATTAATTATTATCACATTTGCTAATGACTTAAGTATAGTAAACTAATGAATTGTAAAGGTGATTAATGTTGTTGTTTAATATAGCTGTTACGAACTTTCCCCAAAACATCTTATTTTCATAAACACATGCAAAATACATGGTGCTTACATATTTCTGCCTACATTACTTTCTTAATGAATTTTCTGTTCATGCTTATTATCAAATATAAACGTCACGAATCATACGACTGAGTACTTTATATGGTTTGTTCTCTAATCAAACGTCGAGGACATTGACAATTAGAGGCATTTATTAATTATGTAAAGAAGAGCTATTGAGTTACAGCATTGAGAAAATTATATGGTGGATTAATTAGGAAAAAATACCTACCTTCCTCAGTAACAGTTCTACTACGAGCCAGATCAGCCTTGTTTCCAACCAGAATTAGGGCTTTGGGAAAAGAATCAGGTCCCATCGAATGATTCGCTAATTTTGTCTTTAAGTATTGCAACAGCGCGAGAGTCCGCTCGGCATCATCGTAGCTCGACCTGTCGGTCACTGAATAAACTACTAGGAATGCGTCTGTGAGGGAAAACGTTGTGTCGTCCAACTATTAATGATAAAGAACTAAATATAAGACTGATGTTTTTTTTTAAGTATCTTAACTGTTCCCAAAATTCACGCTAATGGACTACGAAAGGAATTTGTTTGAGTATATTAACCAAATATGGGTAACTGATAAATTAGAAATTAAAAAAAAGACAAGTGAATTGTTGCTTTAACCGTATGCAATGATATTACTGATTATGTTAAATTCCAAAATTCGAATATCATATAAATGTAACTAATTAAATTGTTATACATTGTTAATCAGTAACCCCTGCAGTACAAAGAAAATTATAGTTTCTTATGTAAATCATGAAGGCAGATTTTTATTTATTTCCAGTCATTACCTGAAGAAATATGTGTTTTAGTTCTTATAGACGGATAATTTATATATATATTTTCTGCTTTTACAAATTTAATGCGTTTACACATACACACCTAAACTAAAATATACTTAAGCCAGAACTTAGAGATGGAAATAAAATTACCGTAGCCTCCGAAGCAGGAACACATTGGAATGTTAGGTCTGTTTCTTCTCTTTGCATAAGCACAGAAACGGATCTGTCGGAGTTACCGTCTGAAATAAAGAACAAACATTTGTTAACACAGCCCCGAAGAATATTGTTTCTTTAGTATGTATACGTATACTACATTGTGAATAATAATTAAACTCTCTAATACTAACAGATCACATCCGGTTATCAGCAATGGCATACAGTAACTGTTATTTGTCTATACCAACATCGTGTGTCTTTGACGAGAGTGTCAGCATATTAAGAGACTCTGTGATATTATCCACGGTCCTTAAGCCACAAGTCCTAGTTCACGAATAGTTTAATCTAGGGGCTAGCTAGCTGCTCTTATGATATTGTTTTCTTTAAGACATGTATTTGATAAAATAATATAAAAGTTTTTTCAATATATCAAATTACAAAAAAAACTTAATGTGATTTTTATCATAGTGTTTGAAAGTTAACATATTTTGACATCTCGAAAAGAAGTAGTTAATTCTAGATAACTTTACATTATATATGCAATATTGAAATTCACGCGTACTTTATTAGTGATTTGTTAAAATAAATGAAAATTTACGTACCTAGAGCATCTTGGTAATTTTCGTATGGAGATAAATATTCTGAGCTCAGGAAATGCGAGACGAGGCTTGCCTTTCCGACCCTGTCTCCCCCAACGATAACCACCCGATGTTGGGCAGGATCACTGCCTCTACGACTGGAAGAACTGGAACCGGTTGAAGAAGTAGGCTCACTGGAGTCGCTGCCACTTCCTTCGGAGGACTCTATATCCGACCTGGAGCGGTTCCTGACAACGTCTCCTAAGTGGACGATGCCTTTTGTTGTGACACTGAATCGTCGTAGACGATGACCGCCAATGGTAGGACTGCCTGGAGGAAGTGGATTTGTACATACTCGCCGTCTGAATTGAGCCCAAGGGTCCACTTCAAGGTCTGCCCACAAGTTGCTTCGGCGACGTCGAGATGGTGAGGCAAGGGGGTGAGTGGCCCTTCGGGGACTGTCTGGCTGTTGAAGGCCTCGGACCCCACCACGTCTTCGACTAGTGTGAGTCGGAGTTGTGTTGACTCTAACCGGGCTCGAAGTAGGCGTACCACGCGGTGTAGCTCGAGAGATAGAACGGGATGCTTTAAATATCGTCGGTAGGTCGGGCATACTGCTGGCATGAATTTTTTCAATCCTCATGGAAAAGTATCTGGAAGGTGTTGCCGGCCCAGGGGAGCGTTGAGAAGTGGTTAACGTCATGGTTTTATAGGACGTAAACGTAAAGTGGCAACGAATAATAAAGTTAACAATTTAGATATGCTACAGCTTTCGTTTAGCTATTGAACGTAAATCTGTAACATCAATGTTTAGCTGGTAAACAACGTTTGAAGAACTCGTGATTCCGTTGGACCTTTTATAAGGATTGACTGCTTCTGTTTAGCCCTAAGAACAGTGCGAGACATGCCATCGTCACGTGCTCTCAGCTATCTGTCATTGGTTTATTCCGTACCACTCGTCACCAAATGGCGGGTGACGTTATTAGTTCCTACCTCCAACTGAGTGGTATGAAATTGGCTTGGTTGAAAACACATCTCTCTGCTAGTATCAATTGATGCGTAGGAAGTATTTAATGAGTACTTCTACATTTGAAATTTGTATATTCACGAGAAATTGGGCTGATTTACAAACCACTCAGATTCAACATTTTTAGCAACCTGAATAGAGTTTGTTAGGTGCAACATTACCATTTCCTCCTGCCTATTTTTTTAAATATATTTCTAATTTTAAAATAATATTTTAAAAACACTAAAATAATGCTCACAAAATTTGTTATCTACCACATCGTGGTTGATTTGTAAATGCTGAGGTAAGATTTTTTTCATGCACTAACATGCACATTATATTTATCTAAGATGACTCAGACAAGCTTTTCAACATGAAAAATTAAACAACAAACTAAACAGTTTTTTGAAGCACTGTGTGAATTGTGCATTGCTTTTATTGGCTTCCTATCTAACCCTAACTGTTCTGGACCATGTATCGTTTTGTGGTTTACTTAGTAGTTGTCAAATATTCGGATCTTCCATTATCTGGTTTATAACGAATTTCAGGTTCGAACCTGACATTTGTTTGTGGTTTACAATGCAGTTATCGTAGGTTCGAACCTGACATTTGTTTGTGGTTTATAATATAGTTATCGTAGGTTCGAACCTGACATTTGTTTGTGGTTTACAATGCAGTTATCGTAGGTTCGAACCTGACATTTGTTTGTGGTTTACAATGCAGTTATCGTAGGTTCGAACCTGACATTTGTTTGTGGTTTATAATATAGTTATCGTAGGTTCGAACCTGACATTTGTTTGTGGCTTATAATGTAGTTATCGTAGATTCTAACCTGACATTTCTTTGTGGCTTATAATGTAGTTATCGTAGATTCTAACCTGACATTTCTTTGTGGCTTATAATGTAGTTATCGTAGATTCTAACCTGACATTTCTTTGTGGCTTATAATGTAGTTATCGTAGATTCTAACTTGACATTTCTTTGTGGCTTATAATGTAGTTATCGTATATTCTAATCTGACATTTCTTTGTGGCTTATAATGTACATATCGTAGGTTTTAACGTGACATATATTTGAGACTTATAATGCAGATATTGTAGGTTCTAGCCTGACATTTGTTTGTGGCTTATAATGTAGTTATCATCAGCTTGAACCTTGCTTTATTTTGTGGCATGCAATATGAGTGTTATAGGTTTGACTCTTGCACTGACTCGTGGTTAAAAATAGTTTTGTCCTTTGCAATAAAATTTACATAGGTCTTAGTCCCACACTACTTTTTTAATTGGATTAGTTTTTGCAGTTTCAAACTATGTATTATTTTTATCTGCGTTATTTTGCTTATTGCAGCTTCTCAGATCTAAAATACATTTACTTTCTTATAACCGAAATACTGTGTGTAATTATAATTTTAAGTTAAAGAACAATCTTTAGAATAAACATACATTTTGAATAGAACAAAAGCTATTCAAGTTTTCAGTTAGTGGATGTTCGGTTTTTAACGTTTACTCTTCGTTAAAAACAATAACTAAGCAAGCTCGAAAGAAAGTCATATTTTCAGGCATTTTGTGTAAATCCCAATCTTTCTTTAGCAATGAAAGAGAGAGAAAAGATCATAAGTTAAATTTTACAACAGGCCACATTTCACTCTTCGGAAGACAAGCATCTTTTAGGCGATATTCTTTTAGCGTCAGTTTCGCTGGAATGATGAAAACTGACATAACATGGAACTGAAAGTTTCCGCTAGTCAAGATGTGAATATTGTTTTCGAATATATAGTACCTGATGATGACAAAACCTTGTCGAAACGTTGTACATTTGCTGTCATGTTAAACTTATATTAAAGTTTTTCTTCATTACCCATTTAAGCCGTCTCCAGCCATTATTAGTCTCAAAGTGGGTTCCTCGTCACCGAATATAGTAATATTTTCTTCTCGTAACAATTTGTAAGTTGTGTAAGAAAAACACTTTTACAGGCGCTTATCTTGTCACCCGGTAATCTTCACGAAGAGTCAGCTATAATAAGAGTCGCCCTGAATGACGATACACAGATGTATCGAAAATTTATTCTAGAGTTAGTTATACCTCCTTCTGTTGATATACAGATGTTTCATAATTTGATATTTTGTGTTGTTTTCACATCAGATTAATATTATTGAATTCCTCTCATTTTAGCTAATCGTTGTTCTGTGTCAATTACCTAGAGACACACGCCTTTACGTCTTTCCGTAAGAAAGATAGTTGCAGAATCGCTCATGACATGTGAAGTTAGAGATGTAATGGTATATATATTCCATTGATGGTTAAGTGACCTCTGGAGGTAACTCTCTGGTGAGTGATCAGCCACCTGTGTAAATGCTAGTTGTTCTGGATGATTATAATGTTAACAACTGAAGTAGTTAATGTGAGATTTGTACAGTCTGGAACAAGATTTCAGGAGATTCAGTCTAATAGTAGATTTTAGGAGAGCAGACTTTGATACTAGCTTGAGAGATATAGTTTGGGAGGTCACTGAGTTAATACTAACTCTTGAGTAAAGACAACTGTATTTTGTGACCAATTAAGTATATATATTTCAACTGCGTTGTTTTAAAGATTCTTTATTGTGCTTCTATGTTTGTGTTCAGTCTTTCCTTACTTATCACGACCGTAGTAGTCAGAGAACAAAGAACTGCTTAGCAGTAAATATTTTGTCGAATCTCCCGTTATTAGCAGGCCTGTTTTGTCGTTCTAAATGGAATCAGTTTTACCAGAGAGTATCACACCATGTTTGTCGTATCTCAACAAGCCTGGTATTGGCCGAAAGGCCTCGTCGGCATTAGATTTCGCAGATATAGTGCAGTTGACATATAACAATACACTTTTCTTTACTTTCACTCAGAATAATCACCGTTCTTATTGCACGAGGGGGGGGTATTTCACTTTCGAATTTATATATGTCTACTTATATATAAGACTCATCCATATTTATGTTAGGGGACATGTAATATAAAAACAGAATTATAACGAGAAAATAAAATAACCTAAGCAATTGTTTTCAAGGTTGAAAGTGCAATCACGTGGTTATCACATGAACACAGGGCACGTGCAAAAACGACCTTCCGGTGCGTAATAGAGAGGATATAAAAGTGGTCAAATGAAACCTGAATAATGTCAAAAAGTAATTTCAAAGTTTACTGCCATGCTTTGGAAGGTTTCGAAAGTATGTAGTATAATACTTTTAAGTAAAAACGTATCATTTCTTCGTACAGTTTCTGTGCAGTGATTAGATTAAGATAAACTTGGTGTATATTAGGTAAAATAACCACTTTCCTTAGAATACTATGTATATACATATATAAAGTCAATCGAATATTTCAACTGAAGTTCTTACTATGAATTTCCAAAATAATTATTTACTTAACTTATTCCTCTCCTCAAAATCGTTGATATCTAATATTTGTTAGTTACAAGACCAGAAAAAACTAGTAGGAGAAATATCTTTATCTAAAACAAAGGTAGAACTGTACCTGCTGAACTAAGGTGAAGCGTGAAAAATAATATTGTTTGTTTGTTTTTTATTTCGGAAATTCGCGCAAAGCTACACAAAAGGGCTATCTGCTGACACACTGAGGGAAAACAGCCAATCAACAGTGCCCACCATCAACTTTTGGTGTATTCTAATCAAATAGTGGGATTTGATTGCCATTTTTATAGCACACCCATGACCCCATTTATACAACAATGGGGTGTGAAACATGGACCCTGATTTCAAAGTCTAGCAAGCTAACCACAAGACCACGACAGGCCAAATTAGAGATAACGGTTTAATTCGCTATTTTTTTTATCTGAAATAATAATTGTATCATAGGAGCATTGTGATTCATAATTTGTGGATCACAACTATTTTTTTCATGATAATTAAACAACCAAATAATACCAAATTGTGAGATTGGTAGCGGATAGTACCAATTTTTTGTTGTTTCTTTTGTACTGTGTGCTGATGACGGTCGTTTGATTGTGATTTCTACTCTCTTACAATGTTTTAAACGTTTAATGTTTATATTATTTTTTATTTGATGGAGCGAATATTCACTTTAAAAACGGTAATGGGAATTAATATTATATTTGAAGTCAAACATTTCCAAAATAATAAAAAAATCATATACAATAAAAATGTTCTATTAATGGAGTGTTTCATGTAGTGGTAATATAACTCACTACATCTGTCACTACAAGATCCTCCATACTTCTCACAATACAGTATATTTAATCTTTCGAAATCTGTGACCATATGTCTCTTTCCACGTCTTTCACAGCATGAATATCAACAAAATCTTATCATTGGTGGTTATCACAAGCAACCTACTATATCTATCAATAGAAGAATGTCTTGGTAAGCTACTACATCTATTAATAGAATGATTTATTAGTAAGTTGGTGTTTTATTATTAAAATAATTTCTTGATAAGTTGCTATAAGTATCAATAGAAGATTTTCTTGGGAAGTTTTTATATCTATTAATATAATAATTTGTTGGTAAGTCACCATATATATTTGTAGAATAATTCTTTGGTAAGTTTCTATATCTATCAGTAGAAGAATTTCTTGGTTGTTACAACACACCTTACTAAGTCTATCAATTAAAGAATTTCTTGGTTGTTACAACATTCCTTACCAAGTCGACCAGTAGAATAATTTCTTGGTTGCTACAACATACCTTACTAATTCTGTCAATGGAAGAATTTATTAGTTGTTACAACATACCTTACTAAGTCTATCAATAGTAATATTTCTTGATTGTTACAACATACCTTACTAAGTCTGTCAATGGAAGAATTTCTTGGTTGTTACAATAT